TAGCTTGAGACCGGGGATGACGGGAGTATTTACACTGTAAACACCGCAGACTCCATCAGTAAGGCCTTTGCCCCTCAGGAGCTGGCTGTTAAACATTTACCAGCTTTCCATTGGCTTCTCCTCACTTTATCTCAGAGCCAAGGCGGGAAATTACCAAATGGAAAGTCCTCTCCTCTTGTAGCCCTTCCTACCCTGTTCCAGCTTTATCCTTATATTCTTTTCCTTCCGTTACTATATTTTTATTACCTACTCACCCCTCCACCCCGACGGCCCTAGGTGCTGGTCTTTCTCCCTCCCTTGTTCTTTTGCCTGGAGTGGAATCTCATTTCGACCCCTGCCTAGGCCCGGTTCCCCCCTCTCCCGGGCATGTAAGGCAGAGCTTCAGACACAGCCCCCCTCAGCTCATGTTTGCCGCTTGCTCTGGATTTCGGTGCTCCTTTTACCTGTTTCTGTCTGATATCGCAGTTGGATGGTTTTCTAGGATTTTTAAATCTTATCTCTTTTTTTAATGTTTCTTGGCTTATCTCTGGATTTTGTTTTGTGGTTTCCATGAGGTGTGTGTAAAGGTCTCAGATGAAACAGCCCCTCCCGATAGCGCCTTACCTCAGGCACCTGCACAGGTTTTGTCTTTGCCACAGGTCATCCCCTTTTATGTGGCGTGTTTATGACTGAAGTGCAGCAGCTATAGTTACTCTAAAATGCCTTGTTCCCTTGAACCTTCATGTTATCATAAAGTATTTAATACTCCCTTCTGAAATACTGTTGCAATTTCCTTCTCTTTGTTTCCTTGTCGTCTTACTCAGAGTTTTGTGTACTTTTGTCTTTTTGTTTCAGATGCGACAGCTCCTTTCAGCATTTCGTGTAACGCAGGTTTTGTGTTGATACATTCCCAAGGTCCCTCAAGTTTTTTTTGTTTTGTTTTTTGTTTTGTTTTTTTGTCGTCTGGGAAAGTCTTTATTTCTTCATACAGAATGGACAACTTTTCTAGATATATTATTCTCAGCTGTTGGTTTCTCTCTTTCAATATTTTGAAAGCAGAGTGTCCCCCCCAAAATGTATACACACTTTAACAGCTGATAGCTGAATTTTGAAAACTGCCTTTATAATTACTAAAAGTGTGTGTATACATTTTTGGGCGGACACCCTATATATCATTCCACTTTCCCCTGGCCTGTAGTGTTTCTGCTGAGAAATCTGATGGGGTTTCCTTTGCAGGTTACGGTCTTTTTTCCTCTGGCTGCCTTGATAGTCCTTGTTCTTATCATTAATTTGACAGTTTTAATAATGTGTCTTGGAGAAGGTCTTTTTGTGTTGAGATAATCACTGTGCTGGCTTCTTTTGCTTTAATGTCCAGTCCCTTCCTAGGTTCAGGAGGTTCTCCTCAGTAATCTCTTGACTAGGCTGCCCGTCTGTCCCCGTCTTCCTCCCCTGTCCCGGGGCACCCCTCGCTCTCACCTGGCTCTTCCTAACGGAGCCAGGTAGTTCTTGTAGAGCTCTTTCACTGAAAAAACCTTCCTCCTTCCTCCTCTTTACTCGAATCAGCTCTCGGTCTTTATTTTCGAGCTTGCTCGTTGCCCTTTCCGTCCAGTCTTCTCTGTTTCCAGTCCTTCCTCCTGCGTTCTTCATGGCATTTACTGAGTTCTTCGGTTCCAGATGCCTCGTGTTTGTCTTTTAAGAGTTTCAATCTCTCTGGTAAAGTCCTCTTTCTGTTCATGACTTTCTGAGTTTCCCTGGACCTCCTTGAGCCCCTTCATCACTGCAAACTTGAATTCTCTGTCGTTTAATCACAGCATTTGAGTTTGGTTTCTGGAGACTTGTCCTTTCCTGGGTTACCATGTCACGTCGACGGTTCCTGGCCCTTGAGGGACTGCTCCTCTGCCTGCGCACTTGAGGCAGTGCCCTCGTCTGTGATTCAGATACCATTTTGATCTTTTCAATTCAGTGGGTTGATAAACCGGCATCTTTTTGTTTGTTTTCCAGTGGATGATGCTATAGCTCAAGTTTCTGTTTTCTCTTACCTGTGCTAATTTCACCTTTGGGGTCAAAGTGGAGGGGACATTGCTGTGGTCATGGAAATAGACTCATGGGGTGACCAGGGGGGTGGGTGTTTTAGTTGTGTTCGGGTTGTCTTCATCTGGGGGTACCACCATGGTGGGGAGACATGTCAGGTGGAGGGGGAACTGAATTTATGAGCCTCCTGTGCTGCTCCCCAGCTCCTTATGGCTGCTGGCATCTCGATACCGGAGCCTGGGGGACGCAGACGCATGTCCTTTGCTCCTACTGGGTTCCTTCGCACGTCGGGGCTGGGGTGGGTAATGGAGCCAGATCCTGGGCACTGACTAACTTGTAAATTTAAGGGGAGATAGAAAGCAGTCTTCTCACTCCACCGTGATGCTGATGATCACTCCCTGTGATATTTAATTTTTGTTACTATTACTTTTTTTGATGTTGATTTTTTAATATAAAAATATAGTCTATTTGCCTTTCACATATTTATAGAATCAGTTTTTAAAATAAAAAAACCTCCTTAATGGTTAGGCCTCTTTTTGGCTTCAAGAAACAGAAAAGTAAACCTAAAAGGTGACTGATTGCTACTGCTGAGTTAGCAGCTTTAATGATGCCAGGCAGAAGCCCCAGCAATGGCCTTGGCCTTTCTTTCAAGGTCAAATGATGGCTCCTACAGATCCAAACTTGATTTGCATTCACAGCAGAAAGGAGGGGACAGAATAGTTGCAGTAGAGCTGTGTTTCCACATGCCATGGCCGCCCCTGGATGGAAGGAGCCTGGGGAAGCTGAGCTAATATCAGTAATACTGTGCTTTATAATAAAGGCCGACAAGCGAGGGGGGACTGGAGTCGGGCGTTAGATAGCTTCTTCCCCCGTATATTTAAACATAACACACTGAGACAAATTTAGAAGGTGGAAAATGTAACTAATGTATATTATCTAGTTCCCTAAAGAAGTTCATTAAGCTGTGTTCCGTCTTTGTGGAGAAGTGATAGAAAACCAGTTTTTATTTATTGAAAGATATTGAGTTTAGAAGCTAGGCTAGGTGTTTTCACACAGTTATTGAGGGTACCTGACATTATCCCCATTTTTACAAGTTTAAGAAACTGAGACACCATAGGAAATGTGCCCCAGATCACGGCGCCTTAGTGAATGGGCGAGCTGCTTTGGGAACCTGGTCCTTCTGCATAGCAAACTGCAGAAATGCTTATAAACGGAAGTGAATTAGACTTTTGTGGAAGTCCTGGTACTCGATCGCGAGGGAACGTACGCGCACGCACGCAGAGGGTGGTAAGGACCGCTCAGTATGTGCCATGTTCGTTTACGGACGCCGCTGGAGCCCTCCAGGTCGTCTCGTCTCCGACACTGCGATAGTAATGGGCGACACTTAACGGGTGCTTACTGTGTATTTTGCTTACACTGATCCATTTAATTCTTGTAACAACCCTTACGAGCTCAGTACTGTTGTGATTAGATGAATAAACTGAGCGGAGTGGCTACAGCACAAGCTCCATCTCGCCCGGGGCAGACCTCGACTTGCGCCCGGGCGCTCCCGCTCGAGGCCCTACTTACTGTTGACCTTTACGCCACGTCCCCTCTCGGAGCAGCTGATTTGTAAGCAAGAATGGGGAGGATTTCTCCCCCTGCCTCTTATCTGGTTCTAACAGATCTTTGAAGAATTTCTACATGTTTCATTAAGCAGGAAGTTCAATAAAATACGATAGAGAATTTTACCAATAGAACAAGCACTTAACCCCAAATTCAGATCTTTCAGACAAAACTGGTACTTGTTCGTACCCCTTTTTAGCTCATGAAAGCTGGTTTCGACTTTGTAATTTTAAGAACGACTATAGATTATCGACCCAGGACTTGAAATGGTAGAGCAGCAAGTGTGTACGTGGGAATAACCCCTACGGATGGGGCTTCTGCGGCCCAGCAGCGTGGTGGATCACGCTCTTGGAAGGCCGCCGCGATCCTCCCGCGTCTGTCAGCAGCGGTGTCAAAGCGATGAAATTGCTGTGGTTTAGCCTTGACACCTGCTGCACGCAGCTCCGCTGTACTCCTATCGAAGGAAACATCTGCAAATATTGGTAAAGATTTCCTTTTCACTTCTGTTTCCAGGCTGTGTATCTCTGTGGTCACCCTGCTGGCTGCACAGTATCTCTGGGTGAATCGGCGCTCAGTATTTTCCCAGGACTTGACCTTCTTGGGATTTGACCTTAGGGTTTGACCTGTGCCATGAGTAGTCTATCAGGTCAGAGCGGTGTGCTTATCGAAGCCAGATTCTGTCCCCACTGCTGGGATTGGCTCTTTCTCTCTCGCTTTCCCACTTATCCACCTACCACTAGCTCTTTAACAACAGTAAGAACCAGGGTTTTCAATGAGCAGTTAACTGATTTTTTTTTAATTTAATAAAGATATTTATTAAAAACCTGTGGCAAGCATCATTTGTAATGGTGAAGTATTGAAAGTTAACTGATTTATTTTAGATTTGTCTTTTTTTTTTTTTTTCATGAAACTTGTGGAAGAATGAATATAAAATTTACAAAAAATGTCTGTGTGGCTTAGTGTAGGTTTTTGAAAAATCATAGAGAAGATAATAAATATAAAAATTCATAGTAGAGATAGCAACACAACTAGGTTGAAATTTCAGCAGAGTAAAGTATTGAGAGGTAAAAGTTATGACTCCTGCATGCACAGGGTTGGTATCAGGCTAAATATTTTAATGGGTGTAAAACCGTGTGGGAAATTAAAAGCTAAACCATAAAAAGCAGACTTAGATATTTGCACGGTTAAAATACATGACTCCGTGTACGCATAGCAACAGATTGTTTCATTATTTGTTTGTGTAATTGGCATCGTCTGTGATGAGAGCCTTGGAACAATAGAATCACTTGGGAGGGACTGTGAAGGACGTTACTGGAATTGAACTGGAGTTGTTCACACACTGTCTGTTCTCTGGTTTAGAATCCTCTCTCTGCTGCTTTTCTCAGGTGGGACTCTTCCCTGGACACTGTGTTGAGCTAATTAACCAGAAAGTTCCCCAGTCGGTGACCAACTCAGTGCCAAAACCAGGTGAGTACACGCTTTCATCGGTGGGGTGATGTGTCAGCTGCTTAACGATACAGACTTTCTCCTAGTCAAGCACGTAGCTTGTCTTGTTTTTCTTTGTGTTTATGGACATAATATGCATCCTTCATTTTACGTGGCTTTCACTTTAAGAGATTTTTATTTCTCTGTTGATCATTTCACAAAGGTTTACATGCATTCAAGATTTTAGACGATTTTAAAGAACTGTTTGCGCCATTAAGCTTTGTCATGATTTGTTTTTACAATTATATAGTAGGAATATAGCTTATTAGTGAATAAAATGATAAAATATTTTTAAAGAACTGACATGGAGATAGTATGATTAGCTGAAACTTAATAGATGAAGGGACTATATAGTTTATCAATGCTTGTGAATTTAAAACTATTTTAAACAGCATTTGTCACATAGTCTATTTATAGCACTATATCAAATATGTGGAGTATTTTACAAGTAATTAAAGCAATGTTAAATTTTTGTTTTTTGGGGATGATTTAATCTTGCCAAATCCTACAGAGTATCTAGTCTGGAACTTTTTAATGTGATATAAATATTTCAAAGGAAAGAAAAAGACTACAAGATTTTGGGGGGAAGAAGTAATAGATTTGTTTTCCTCCTTGTATTACATTCTCTCCTCTCTTCCCAGCCCGACCCCAGCACTCTCCCCCAGTGAAAGAAAAAGCACATTTCTGGGCCTCAGAATTTATTTGTACTGTTCTCCTTAATGCATTTTCTAGGTTTAGATTCTATGTGTAAAAATTAGAGGGAGGTTATTCTTTACTTATTTAGTATTTTCCTACCTCTGCCCCCAAAGCACACATCAGTCCACCTTTGCTTATAGTATTTAGGTAAAGGCAATGGTAATAACCCCTTTCAAAGCTTATTTCTTCAGAGAACCTTAAGGAGTCAGTGTTCCAATTTTTCTTATAGGAATTTTAAAATTTTAAATTGACTACATTTATTGTTTAGTAAACTTCAGAACAGCGTTCTCTGCAGCTCTTAGTCTTAATCCTCTGTTAAATCCCCTCTAGTTGGATAAACTTATTAAAAAGACCTCCTCAGTGGGTACTTGGTCAGTCAGTGTTCATTAGTGGTTCTGATGGCTGTAGGTTTCTTTCCTTCTTAAATATGGCATCAGTGACTTAAATAATGTAATACCCATTAACAGACATTGCCCAGCCCCACCTCGCAGTCCTGGCAGCTACTAACCTACCTTCTGTCTCTTTAGCTTTCCCTATTCTAGACATTTTATATAAACGGAACCATATAATATGTGGTCTTTATATTTGGCTTCTGTTACTTATTAAAGTGTTTTTAGGAGTCATTTGTGCATCAGTGCTTCATCCTTCTTTATGGCCAAATAATATTCCATTATATGGATAAGCCATATTTTATTTATCCATTCGTTTTGGGTTGTTTCCATTTTTGGCTATTATGAATAATGCTGCCATGAACATCTGTGTACAAATTTTTAAGTAAATATGTTTTCGTCTCCTAGTATGTATCTAGGAGTATAATTGCTCAGTCACACGGTAACTCTGTTTAAGCTTTGAGTAACTGCCAGGGTGCTTTACAAAGAAGCTTCACCATTTCACAATACAGTGTCTGAGAGTTACAGTTGCCCCATATCCTGGTTATTATTTTTATTATTGCCATCTTAGAGGGTATCAAGTGGTGTATCTTTGTGGTTTTGATTTGCACTTTCCTGATGGCTAATAATGTCAAGCATTTTTTTATATGCTTATTACCCATTTACATATCTTTGGAGAAATGTCTGCTATAGAAACTTAACTTCTATTAGTGATTAAACCTCATCTTTGATAATTTTGCTCCAGAGATGTACTGCAAATTGAGTTTTTAAAAATTAGCCTAGCCCGGCCGGTGTAGCTCAGCAGTTGAGCATTGACCTATGATCCAGGAGATCGAGGTTCGATTCTGGGTCAGGGCACATGCCCAGGTTGCGGGCTCGACCCCGGGGTGTGTGTGTGTGTGTGTGTGTGTGTGTGTGTGTGTGTGTGCAGGAGGCAGCCAATCAATGACTCCCTCATCATTGGTGTTTCTCTCTCTTTCCCTCTTCCTTCCTCTCTCTGAAATCAATGAAGACATGTTAAAAAAAAAAAAATTAACTTAATATTGGTATTAAACTGTATCAATCAAATACTTCCTCATGTTTTGAATGAGAAAGTGACATTTCAAATTGTGATAACTTCCAGAAGCTTTTAAAACTTGAGAAAGGTAACCAGATACTGGTATTTCTGGGAAATGGGCTTCTATTAGTAGACTTGTTAATTCTAAATTAATAATGACATAGAATGAAGCACCCCTTCAAAAGCTAATATTTTACCTTCTGTGAGCAGTGTTGCAGGGTTGTTATAGGGAAATGTGCATTCTTAATACATTTTGGGAAGGGCGATGTGAATTCTGTCAGCCTCAAGCTTGTTTCACACTTTAAAACTGTCTTTGCCTACAGTTAACTTGAGTGTTCTGTTTATTTTTAACACTGCCATCTGTCACTGCTGGATGCCAAACCTGAAAGATGTAGCTATAGTTTGAGACTGAAATGTAAAGCTCCCGATATTATTACACAACAAAGGCAATAGGAAAAAATTTCCCTTTGGAGCTCTTCTGAATGTTCTCAATATGTCCAGTTATTTGTGGGTGTAAAAATAAAATTAATGAGTCACCACGTCCTGCTTGGAGTTTACTGAGCCGTTGGGTCTACTTATTGGTTTCTTTCTTGACGTTCTTAATGTTCTCAGCACTTACCTCTTTGGTTATTTCTTTTGTGCAATACTCTGTCCCCCTCTTTCCTTCACGCGTCAGTTACACATCCTCTCTTCCCAGTTGGGACACTTTCTGGTGACCTGTCTCAAAGTTCACTGAGCCTTCCCTCTGCGTAGGCATCTCTCAAGCCCATCTAATAAGTTCTTAAATCCTCATAGTGTATCTTTCATTTCCAGGATCAACATTGGGTCTTTTTTATAGTTTCCAAGGTGGAGTTCTTCATCTTCTAATATTATTTACTTTTTTCTCTAGAAAGGAGAAAAGAGGACTTGGGGGGTGGGGGGGGAGAGGGAAGACAGTGGGGAGAAAAGGTAAAGACAGAAGAAAAGGCATAAACTTCTGAAAGTGAAGGACCTGGGAATTTAGACAGCTGGCCCTCTGAGGAGAGTTAGACAATTTGGACAGAAATGAAAATATCACTTTGAAGCATTTGAGAATTAACAAGGCAGGAAACCATTACTGAGTAAGGTTAAGCAGAAGGCACGCCAGTGGAGTGACGCCAGTAGATGGAGACATTACTCCCCTAGTGTCGCGTCTGGGGATCCAGTAGAGAAAGTCGCCGTAGGAGGGGAACAGAGCCCCGCAGGACAGAGTTGCTGATAAATGCCCCAAGCTTGAGTTGGAATTTTTGTGGAAATTGACAACTGATTCTAAAATTTAGATGGAAATGCACAGCCAAAAATACTCCCAGCCATTTTGAAGAACAAAAAAGTGGGACACTTCCTATCATAAATATCAAGATTTATTGTTAAAACTTCAATAATTAAGATACTGGTATGATAAGATGTTCAACATTATCAGTCTTTAGGGAAATGCAAGTTAAAACCTTATTGACCCAATGCACACCCACCAGAATGGTTGAATTTTAAGAGTAACAGTACCAAAAGTTGGTAAGGATATAAATCTGTGGGAACCCTCATACACTGCCGGTTTCTTTATACACTCTTAGGTACATATAGGACGTTCATAGCAACCTCATTCCTAAATGTCAAAAAACTAGAGAAACTCAGAGGGGTGTCCATAGTGGCATGGGTAAATAAAGGCACGTTCATGCAGTGGATTTCTCTGCGCCGGTGGAAATGAAAGGGGTTACGGCTGCATGCAACAGCAGGGATGAGTCTCCCAAAAATAAACACGGGTGAAGAAGCCGGGTGTCCATGCGCACGCTCTCTGAGAAACTCCCTAAAACGGAGAGTTCAAAGCCGCGGAGTCTGGGCCTGTCCTGTGCTGGTAGAAGCCGGGTTAGCAGTTCCCTTCTGCGAGGAGAGAGCAGGCCGATGACGGGATGGCTAGGAGAGAGGATTTCTGACTGGCCGGAGATGTTCTTTCTTTTGAACCAGAAGGATAATGTCGGCGAGCACCTTTTCTTGCGCTAATTGGCCATTTGTGTATCTTCTTTGGAGAAATGCCCATCAAGCCCTCTGTCATTTTTGGATTTGTCACTTTGCATTTTGAAAATATACCTCCCATCCGGATGCATATTCTTTGCAGCGTCGCTTTAATACACACATGTTGGAAATCTCAGGTTCAAAATAGATCGGATGCTTCCGTGCTGTGACGTAGTCTGCAGCTGTCAAAAAGAAGAGGTAGAGGCGTATGTGCTGATCCCGGGGACTTTTTGTCCGTGGTGCACTGTTAAATGAGAAAGCGAGTCACAGAACAGGACGGACTCACAGAAGAGGGTCTGGAACGATGACCGCCTTCCTGGAGAGAAGAATATGGAGGCCGCAAGGACATTTCACTTTTTCTGTTTGCTTCAGTATTAAGTCCTTTAAAATGAACATGTGTTACTTTATGAAAAAAACAAAACACGCAGATTGTCGTCTCCCCTTCACTCCGTTCTGTCCAAATAGGAAGTTTCCAAGAGTCTTTTTTAATGCACCCGGTAAGTTAGACATTTTTTGACAACAGATTTAATGTAGACGTTTCATTTAATTTATATACCTGTGTCAAAAGCAGCACAGTCGAAAGGACAAGAGCACAAGCTCCAACCTTGAGTTTTAATCCCTGTGCCACGTTTTACCGTCTGTGTGCATGTCATTTGGCTTCTCTGATTTCTACTTTCCTTATCTGAAAAGTGAGGCAAGGTTCTTTTGAACGTTAGCGATAAGGCCCCTGGAGACTTGATAAATGTGAGCTGTTATTATTTATTGCTTTATGTGCATTTACTTTTAAGTCATTGAAAGTCAAAGTGTCAGAAGCT